TGTTCTCTTGAATGTGATTGTACCTAAGCTAGAGTATGCAGGAGAGGTATCGGAAGGTGACGAAAAGGCCGTCAAGTAGCTGGAAACGGTGCAGATGGCAGCGGCCAAGAAAATACTAGGATGTTCAAGTACAACGAGCAACACTGTATTGAGAGCAGAACTGGGAATGTACTCTCTTAAAACAAAGAGAGACATGCAAAAGTTGAATTGGCAGTACAAGGTAAGTAGAATGTCGGACGATAGACTACCAGCCATGGTTGACAAGGCAGCTTGGGGAAAGGCGACTCCAGGGAAGAAAGGAATCAGATGGGACAAGGTGGTAGAGAGGGTTTGGAAGGAGATAGGAGACGAGGAGGAGACATTGGACACGGAAGGGTTCGGGGGGTTCAAGAAGAAAGTCAAGGAGATGCTAGAAAGTAGGGAGGAGGCAACCCTTCGGAAGAAGGTACGAAGCGACGACCACTTGGAGATATACGGGAAGTTGAAAGAAGGGATAGGGATGAAGAGTTACTTGGACGGCCCCATGGACTACGCAAAAAGACTGAAGTTGCAATCTCGAGTAGGCGATCTGGACTTGCTAGAACGGAGGAAGAGGTACAGCAGCCGTAGGAGAGAGGAAGAGGAGGATAGACAGACATGTCCATGTGGCAAATCGGAGGAGAGTAGACCCCACATAGTTGGGGAGTGTGAGCTGTACAGGAAGGAAAGAGAGGATCTCGAGGAGGACATGAGACAGAGAGGGTGTGACATGGACAAGTTTGGTAAATTAGACAACAGCGAAAAAACAATCGCGGTAATTGGGGATAGATTGCGGGCACAAGAGGCCGTAGAGGACGGGGATAAGATGTGCAAGAAATTTTTATGTAGTTTGTGGCAGAAACGTAAAGAGCTCCCAAATGTTGGTGGTGTCTCTATTTAGTAGGGGTAGGAACGGTGCTCCGTCTCGAATGGGACGCGTGGTCAATGGTCAAATGACCACGGCAAGCAACAAATGAGCACGCCCCCCCCACCCCTCCGGTGTCTGGGGGGGTGTATGAGTACACCCCCCCCCCTCAGGTGTTTGCCATCGGGGTTGGGTTTTTGTCGCTTAGCAACGACGTTGTAAAACAAGCCGCC